TATTAAATGCAGGGAAAGGGTGATACTGAGATTTTGGAAGAGTCCAATGGTACCCACCAGGACAGATTGGATCCATCAGGTTAATCTTACAATGGAATCGGGAAAGTGGATAGCAACATGTAAAAGGGAAGTATAAGTTCTGTAGGGTATGGGATATATGGATTAACTATAGTTTCATGGATTTATGAAACGGGAGGGACTATGGTTATGAAAGTCACAGCTGTAACTTGAACAGAGGAGATTCCTCTATGTTCCATTGTAGTGAGTTTTTAATTTGGTATTAGATCAGATCAATTGCAATGAATTACAATCTTCATAACATTCTGGAATATATGCAAATTGCCATCATACAAACTGAGTCAATATTTGCATATAGATTGTCGTGCGTTTGGTAGCAACATGCCTGGGCTTTGTTAGGGAGCTGAAGCATGAGGTGTGTTTTGTGGGATTGGCAGGGGGCGAGTCTAAACTCCAGTTGCAGGAAGTATTCCAATGACAGGCTTTTGTGTCTTTGCCACAGATTTAAATATAAAACAGCTCTTCAAGCTTTATACAAAATTTGACGACCAGGCTTACAAATGGAAGCTGCAATGTCAAATGCATGATTATGCTAGTTTAGCAATGGGGCTCTTTCAGTTGGTTACTTCTCCCCCTGCTCATGTTATAGCTTCCTGTTTATACTTTGAGTGAACTGTCAGTAATGGCTTTATCAGCAACTAGACAGCAAAGAATAGTGGACAGTGAGAAGATTGGGGGAATGCTGGAGCAGAGTCTTGGGGGAATGCTGGAGCAGAGTCTTTATATCAATTGAGTTTTACACAGATGCCAAACCCCATAGATTAGTAAAAGTTTATTAAAATGGGCCTTGCATTTCACAGCAACAAACTCCAAAAAAAACAGCAAGCTGTTGCTCCACCCCCTCCTTATAGATCATTGCAAGGCAAAAGAGGGGGGGGCAGGAAGGGTCATCACATAGAAACTTAACTTATACCCTGACTTGCAGCCTTTTGCCTAAATCATTCTTCTAAAACAAAAGTATTTTGTTTGTGATCGTGGGCAAGAACAATTCTCACTGTCCAAATTAGCACACAGCAAGGTAGGGGGGCTCTGATGTGAAGGGGAGCCCCATTTGTTTGTGTGGGTCTCTCCTTAAAATCCATACCAGACCTGTATCAGGGATAAGGGCCTGGTAAGGCTTTTGGAGAGGCCACACATTTTTTTTTAGATGGGGGGGCCTTGAGATGTTGCATACTTTTAAAGGGTGCATGACTGAAAAGTGGTTGATAAATGCCGCTTTAACCACCTCCCGTCCGCTGGGCTCAGTTCCACCATATGCAGTTGTGATGCAGTCCGTTTAGTTTGACTGCCGCAGCCAAAATACATCACAATGCTTTCCTATGGGCTCTCTCGTGCTGTATTCACACCATTGCAGTCTGTTCAGATGCACTCAGAAAAAAGTACTGCTTGTCCTATTTTAGTTGCATCTAACTGCACCGGAACGCATGCAAGCGTACTGGAACGCATACAAAATACAGGATTGTGGCATCTAGGGGAAAAAACGCATCTGAACGCATAAAAAAACAGATTGCAATGCAACTGCGCATATGCATGCAGTTTCTGGTGTGAACTAAACCCAAAACATTGAGACTACAAAGAATACAGATATTTCTCTTAATGGGAAATGATATATCAAACCCACTGCTATCAATATCATTAACATTTGAGAAAGGGCTCAAAACTAGATCAGATGAAGCACAAAGTATTGCAGTAAATTGTATTCATACAAGAGACTGCAGGCTTGGACAAATACTAGCATACTCATGAATTCTCCACTCCCTGCTGGTTACAGATTAACAGGTGACTCCTTCCAGCTACTTTGAAGATTTCCATGTCTTGGAGAGGCTAGTTTAGAGTTTGGCAAATCCAGTTCTATGCAGGACAGACTGGAGAAGAAATCTTGAGGCGAGTACTGTGCTCAATCTGGACATGCAGGAAATCGCAGGGGTCATTTTTTTTTTTTTACAAAAGAAAGAAACCAAAATCTTGTTTATCACAATATAAAGAACTTTATTAAACAGACTCTAGAACAAGCACTCTTGGCATGAACAGCATTCTGTTTACTTACAACAGGCAGGTTTACCATTGACAGTTTTTTGCATTGTTTCTTGCTTTGTTGTGGACTTGTTCACAATTTATTTTGGTGTGTAATAGGAGCTAAGTCAAGGTAAAAGCTCTAAACAAATAAATATCAGGAAACCTATGTCTCCCCAGCCACTGTTAAACATGAAGCCCGAATACTAACACAGCATGACTGGATTGTTAGGTCCCACATTAGATAGAGGACCAGCGTTTACATCAGCCTGTGGAAACTGCTGGCTCCTATTAAGGAGCTGCAAAACAGAATACAGAGCTCTAAAGTTCCATAACATACAAACAGGGACCACAGTTTTGTGGCTCATCATCATCAGCCACATCTCAGCATGTTAAGCCAGCGCAATTTATTCTGTGCAATGGTAAATATTTATTCGAAACTACTTTAGAGGGTGTGAACACACACACCACACTTTTGTAAAGATCTGCTCCCATTACCTTTTTGCCTGTGCCCCAAATGCAGAGGAGCAGATTTGAAGAGCAATAAATGAGCGTTAAGGCAGATCTTTATAAGCTAACAAAAGTATAATTTCATACAAAGTCCTAACAAACTTCTCATCCAAATATTTTTTCTTTGGGACTTGTACTTTAACTAGCTAACTGAGATAGGAACAGAGGCATAAACCATTTTTGGGACGTTAAGCCAGCTAAGTGAAGCACCCACCAGAAAAGTCAATCCATCTGAACCCAGAAATTAAAGAATACAAAGAACAAAAGACATATTGAAACACTGGGTTTCAAATACTGTACTTTGCTTAGACACAGTCAATATACATCTTTCTTCTCTTGGATTTGAAAGTATCAGAGTAGCAAAGCATAAAAATCCAAATGCTTTACATACATCCCATTGACAGGTCATGGGAATTTCCCAATTGTCCTCCAAGTCATATGAATCTGTATAAAAACTCTGTATTCAATCTATGATTAACTCCTGTCACAATAAAGGCAGGCAGACGGGTTTACTTACACCTCTCAAAGCATTCAAGGGAGATGCAGTTTAAAATGGAAAAGCCAACAATTGTCAAATTTGCTTCCATCAATTAACAATAGTACAGGTATTTCTACATGCAAATATCATTCCTACAGAAAGGATGCATAGTAGAAAAAGGGTCAGTTTACTAAAAATGTCAGTCATGGATAGACTAGTGGTCCCATGTCACTCAAATCATCCACCTCTTCACGTTTCCTGTGCCGAGGTCTTTCTACAAGTTACTCCATCTCTGATGTCATAAGATATTTTCAATTCAGAAGAAGATAACTTGCTCTGCCTGAAGCATTGCCTAAAAAGGAAATGTACAGGGAGGATATAGGGCTCACTTCTCATAGTCACAGCAGGTTGACAGTGTTTGAAACTCGAGGTACAAATGTCACTGCTGGGAACCCCAAGAGAAGATGGAGGACTGACACTAGAATAGACCCAAAATTTGAATATTTGTTTTGAGTGGACGGAACCCTTAATAGCAAGGGGGGGGGGGGATAGTGTATAAAGCACCAAACCATTCACTCCAAATTCTTACAAAATCCTACTACGTAAAGTGCAAATTTTCTTTGAGGTCTGAACAGATGGCTTATCTGTTTGTAGATCCCAGAAACATTTCTTTGCTCCCGTTGACCTCAAACCGTACTGACAACCACTAACTTAAAAATGTGATCTCCAGCCACTTCCCCCTCCCAACAGATCAGAGTTCAGAAGGGAGCGGCTCTTAGGTAAGAACTTAAAACCCTGGGCAGAGGTAACTATGTATTTGACCAAAGTACCTTAACTGCCTAATGTCTGCTCTGACTTTTGTATACTCTGCAAAAATAACACGTTAGTCAAAAAAAGTTTTTAAAAAAGCCATAATACTATATCTATAATTAAACATTTGTAAAAATATCTCACTGTTATTTTCTTTTAAATAAATATATAATAAATATACAAGCTAGGCAGTAAAAACCATGACAAAAAAAACAAACCAGAGGAATGTGCAAGCAAACACTGTCCTGGATGGACACAGACTACGGTCATGTGTGGGACGGCAGCATTTGCAAAACTTAAGACACCATGCTGCTGCTAGGTTACTTTCCTAAAGTAAAATCATAACATCCCAGCAGCAGTGAGGTCAGTGACCAGTTGAGGCGCCCTTTTTGTAAGCCGAGCGGATGCTCATGAGCCAAATGATAAAGAGCCGAGCAGCATGCTCTGATTGAATGGAATTGGCTATGTGGATTTTGGCCCAGATTAAAAAAAAGGGCATTCCCCCCCCCCCCCAAAAAAAATAAGTTAAACAAAAAACCCAAATAATTTGTTTTAGGGTGGGGAGGGAATACAGCACTTGGTATGTACAGTTTGCCTGGAAGTTCCTCACCGATATGAACAAGCACAGAATCTGAAGGAAAGGAACCCTTAAGATTGCATATCTTCACAGTAAGGTTACACAGGCACATGTAAATACACAGCAGCTGTATTACTTATCCTCCACCCATCCAAACCAACGTTTTAAAGTGAAGTTTTGAATGTAAGGTAGCCTAGTAAGCAGCAATAAAACCAGGCAGCCATTCAGTGCCACTTGTATAACCATGCAACACTGGAAGGAGAAGTCTGTATTACGTTGGAAAGGTTCTAGGTACTGTGGAACTGCAAGTCTTCATATTTCAATCTAATCAAGGACAGTAATTCCACAGCAGCAGAATAACTTAGAAGCTGGTGTGGAGTTACATATACATTGAATCATATCCTCATCTCTGGATGCGACAACAGCATTGTCAATATGCATGCTGCAAGTTGTATTTTCAGTATATCAAGTACATTCAGAGAACACATGCTGCCACGTGATAAGCTCAATACAGAAAATGGGACAAGTAAAAAACAAAAACCCCCCCACAAACATATGTAAACACGGTTCCAGTTTGGAAGATGCTACTGGTCACCCCATAAGGAAGGCGCATGGAATGAGAGCAATTGTTGATTAGGTGAAGAGTTCCTAAAAAACAAAGGCCAAGTCTGACATCCTTCTGTTTCCTGGCTTATCACAGCTTTACTCCGTCGCTTTTAGTGTTAAACACATTCACAGAATGAGAACAGGACCATTGACATCCAGGGAGTTACCCCCCCCCCCCCCAAGTCTAATGTCTGGCAACAGCATAATAGCTGCTTATCACCGCGAAGTCACTCCCAGTGTGAGCTTCAGGTTCTCGTACACAACATAACTGATGCTGACGGCCGGGATCACCTTCATAAAATTGGGGGCCAGACCCCGGTACAGTCCAGTAGCTCCCTCTGTCTGTATGATATGTTTGAAGAGACTGCTCATATTCACCTGTGGAGCGCCTTCAATGGAAGCTGCAAATAAAACAAAGTGCCATCAAACCACAATGCTTTAGTATTTCACAGATAAAATCTGGACTAAACAGATATCGGATATATTGTTGCTTACAATAAAAAAATATGGTGTCTTTTCACTGTTGTATTTATAAGCTGCAAATAAACTGCACATTTCCATACTACAAACATCTTTGTTGTCCTTTTAAAATTTACCAACACAATAGAAGATTAAAGAGACCCCTGAATAGCCCCTGTACATACTGATGGCTGCAACTGGCAATTTTACTGGCAAAAGAGACCGTAAATAAATACAGTAATCGGGAGATCCCTGAAAAACTGGCTATGGGCAGCACAGTGACTGTGGTTCACGATTCTGCCAGGCCACCATCTACAAGGAGTTTGCGTGCTCTACCTGTGCTTGCGTGGGTTACCTTCTGGTACTCCAGTTTCCTCACATACTCCAAAAAGACATGATGGAAGGTTAACTGGCTCCTGTCTAAATTGTCCTTGTATGTATGCATGCGAGTATAGGGACCTTAGATTGTAAGCTCCATGAGGACAGGGACTGATGTGAATGCGCACTGTGTAAGTGCAGCGTAAATTGTCGGCGCTATATAAATACCTCTAAATAAACGTCATAAAAAAAACCCCCAAACAATCCCTTTAAAAAGGTGTCCCTAGACACTAGATTAGCCTGGCATAGATGTATGAGCTATCTCCCCATACAGCACACAAGTCTGCCATCGAGGAACAAAAGTACACCCAAGAAATCACTTATATTCAGTTTATGCTGAATGGGAAGGGGTAGGAGCTTTTCTATCTTGTTCTATTGTCATTATCTGAGATGTTCCAGCCAAAAAACGTACCTACAGGTATTTTACAGCCCTGGCATCATCGCCCAATTGGGTAACTGCCATTTACAATCTATGGGTATAATTAGCTTGCAAGGTGCTCGGAGTATTTTAGAGCAGCCAAAAACCCAACTGCTTTGTAGTGTTAAGCGATTTGTCTTTTGCCAGCTTGACATATGCAGAGATGCACCTTAAAAACGGTCTGATTGGCAGATGTACTCACCCTGTGCCTGCATGCGTGTCCTCACCAAAGCCAGGGGATAGCTTGAGAGCTGCCCACATGTACTGGATATGGTCCCACAGGCGAGTAATACAAAGACGCCAGGGTCAGCACTGCTTGTGGCATACCGATTCAGCCAGGCGTTCTTCAGAGTCTTCAGAGAGAAATACAATTAGTTAGAAATAAAAATACTAGGGATTTAGGGATTTTGTTTATAATCAAAGCAGATGTTTAGATCAAAACAAAAGATTATTTTACTAACATTACTCAACACAAGAAAAAGCTGGGCATGTCTAGAAGTAGGGTCATAGCAATGCAGGTAAATCTGACATTGTCGATGTACATTGAAAGTGAATATCCAAGCTCAATTTTGCACAACTCAACTGTAGAAAATCAAATTTGGACTGCAGATGGACAACAATGAAAGTGGAACCGTGGTAGCTCACCTCATATACTGCCAAGTCAATTCCAGCATAAGGAATGATCCCCAACATGTTGGGGACATATCCCTTGTAGAAGGCAGATGCCCCTTCCTTTAGCAAAATCTTTTTGGCACAGTCCAACATCCCTTGATATTGTCCAGTCTTCCTCAGAGCCATCCTTGTTTTCAAGACCTGCAATCATTGAGAAGTTCATTAAGCACCAACATCACAAGCACAGATTGTATCAACTGTATTCCAGCAGCTCATGTCCTCACCTCCATGGGGTATATACTGCTCTGGGCAATCACTCCAGCTAGAGACCCGGCCACCAACCTCTCACGTATACCCAAGATCTCTTGGTCACTACCAATGACACGTTTAATCTGCAGAAAGCAAAATCAGGGACAAGTTAGATAAAAAGTTAAAAGTAAAGCAGTAGAACAAGTTAATATTCTGTAAAACAGACTCCAGCATTCTCTTAAATTACTAATGCAAAAGTTTAGCTTTCTAACAAATTTCCCTTTAGTGGAATGTGAATGCTCAAGTCTACACATCATTTCATCAACCGCTTTGTATTTACCTACGACATTGTGCAAGCACTGTTACACAGGAGCAGATTGTGACAAACTCACCTGTTCATATGCCATGAACTTAATAGCAGACTCTGGAGCAATTTTAATGACATTGATGCCATTTCCTCGCCACAGTGAGCGGAAGCCTCCTTCACGGAGCATCTGTGTGAAGCCCCCTACCATGGACATGTTGTTGCTGCGTGAACCATGGACCTGCAAGAGACAACACGAGGCATGTGGTCAGAAATCGCTACTAATACCGGCACAATGGCTTCTGCTCATTTGTAGGAGGGCTATGTAATCCCAGCAGGAATGTGTAATAACTCACAGTACTTCAGCTAAATACACAATCACTCAGCTGCTAGTGCGTCACTGCTATAATACGTCTTTCAGAAAACAGTGATTAACAATTGCAACACATGGATCTGAATCTAGTGTTGATCGCAACAAACCAACAGCAGATTACCAGTAAAAGCCACTTAGTAAGCCAGCCCGTGCACATAGAGGAGGCCATCTCCCGAACCAATGCGGTTCAATAAACATGTCATTCTTGCAAGATAGAAAACATAGGAGCGATAGTATTACTCCAAACAAACATCACAAAAAGTGGTAAACTAATTTCTGCACTAACTAAAATACCTTTACATCTAGGTTTTTTTTTTCTACAGGAATGACAGAACCATAAGAATCCTTTCACTCTATTGCAGCTGCACCCAAGCTTCTCATATGACCTTGTTACACAAATTTAAACCCTGAAATTGCTGAATGCCAAAGAACCTGTCCTGTTCTATGACACAGAGTGAACTAAAAAAGCAGATGTCATTTGTAATGTACAGAACAAAGTCCAGCAATCCTCCATTTATCTTTAACAGCAGTTACACAATTCTCCATGCCCTCATGCAATGAAAGTTGTGAAAGCTTGCATCATTAAATCGATACGGAACATTTCACACTATAAAGTAGCAACTATGTCCATTTCCTACAGTTCAGAAAAAAAAGAAGGTTCGAACTTTTAAAGGTACTCCAAGGATCATACAAGTGTACTTTTCTTTTTAAATAAAATGTAACATGTAATGTTTTCCTCCCACTGGACTACAAAAAAAATAAGGAAGCCGGTATCCAGAAAACTGTAATGTGAATATTGTGGGAGGATGCGGCTACACCCTTTGGTATTTTGTAGACAATCTTTTGTCCTTTTAAAGTTATGTATTTTTAGATATGTTTAAATAAAAAAATAAAAAAAAGTACCCTTGGAGTACCTTAAAAGTCTGAACGTTCTTTTTTTCTCTGTGATATAAAATGATTAGGATGTGGTATTCCCCCTCTATGCATACCTCATCGTATGAAAACAACCATTTCCCACAGTTGTGGAATCTGCACACCATAAAACTCTACTAACCTGCATGAGAACCTTTAGCCGATCCAAGGGAGCTGTACATGTCCGCGACACGGCACCAGCTCCACCACCAGCCACAAGATGCCTCCACCACATTCCAGTTTGTTTCTCCTCCACAGTAAATTCATCAGGCACGAGGAGGTTTTCTCCAACATCAAATATCTGCAGAGGGAGGAGAGTGATGGGGTCAGTGTTGCCACTATTCAGGCAGTATATATAAACCATGCTCTACAATGGACAGCCTCAGAGCTCCTGTACACGTCTGCTCCCAACTAGTACTTTAGTGAAGACTGGCAATGCAAATGAAAGATATGCAAATGGCAGCATAACCGGTTGCTACACCACAAAAGCCTTTGGCTGCAGGGGGTGGAACAAACCAGCACAGGCTGACTGGGACCAGTTACACTCTGCAAACAGTTTGGTGTCAGATTTTCATGATTTGGTGTTTACCCACTTAGCGCCAGATACAATTACAAGACATGAGCTCTTTCAGACATGTGCGTTGGTCCCCTGATGAATGCCGTTAGGTTTTGATAAATTGCAAAATGCCATGCAAGGGTCAGTTTCTCGGATTATAACAAGGAACAGCAATAGTTTGTTAGATCCCTGTACACAACCTACATTTGGGAACCCATTTTACCAAAACCAACTCTCCTCAGCTGGGGCTGACAGTTTGGTTATGTCTAGGGCATGACAATCTTGCATCCTGAACCAGGTCACTTTGTGGTTTTCTTATGATTATAAAAAATTTGACTGTTGAATAATTTAATTCCAGACTACTATGGACCTTCGCTATGAGAGTCATGCAGAGGAAATATCCTGCTACCTGATCATACTACATGTACAAATTAAACATAAAAATGCCTAAAAAGGAACAGAGTATGCGGGATGAAAAAAATAAAAATAGAGCCTGCTATTGCTGATCTTTACTGAAAATGCTACTTGCCTGGCAGTCATAAGGATCCTCTTCCCCCCCCCCCCCCCTTCCCCCCTAAAAAAAAAACTTTGAACCAGTGACCGTAACAAGTGTGCATATCAGGAGTTGACATTCACATCAGTATTCAAGCAACAAACATTTTCAAAAGTCAGCAATAGCAGCTGCCATGTTTCTGCACTGCACAGAGAAGACACGTAGCAATACACTCTTGTTCAGACTAATGCTCTTGTAATAGTCAAAACTTGCAAATGCCGAGTATATAGCTGCACACAGTTAAGGTCATTCCACAATATAAAAAGAGTATTCGAGCACCAAGTTCCTGCAAAGCATGCAGTGCCAACACATAGGAAGGAGTTAAATTAGCACTTACTGTAGAGTGTTTCCAGTAAAGGATGATTTCAGGAATGTTCTCGGCAGGATGTAAGAGATGGTAATCCCTCCACTCATTCCAGTCTATTGTCATTGTGCCATTCTTATCCATGCTGAAAAACAAAAGGCCATTTGCATGGAGTCAGTGATCGCAGAGCACAACACAGGCAGACATGCACAATGCATGAGCACAGAAAGTCACAAGACAGAGGGAGGGTGACGAGAGGGCAACATACTTACTGAGTGACAGGACTCCAGCGGCTGCCTGTCCTAATTCTGACAGCCACACAGACAGAAGCAAAAGGAAAGACAGCACAGATAAAACAGTTACTCCCAGAAAGTTCTATACAAAACCCCCCGAAAGCTTCTAATACCCAGATACAGTTATAGCGGTCAGGATATGCCATGAGCTTCTCTAACTCCGAAGGTATTTTTGGGCAACCCTGGGATTAATTGATGATTAAATTACTTTATTGCGTTAGGTGGGATAGCATCCAGAAGGGAAACACGAGAAAGAGGCGTCAGCGCAATACAGGACAGACTACAGAACCTGAAGACAGAATTGGTTGACAGAGGCATTTTAGTAAGCTCACTTCTTAAGGATTTTCTCTGCTTGCTGCTCAGAGATAGTCACACCAAGGTCACAGAGAGATTGCATTATTTCCTGCACATCAATTCGACCTATGAGGAACACAAATATCATATTTTAACATAACAGAGAAAAGAAAAAAACAGCAGTCTAAGAACCACTCCTCTGAGCCAATAGGTTTAGACAAAAACTTTTTCATAACGACCACTTGGCCTGCTTAAAGACCTGGTCTACTAGGCAAGCCTTCCTCTGATTTCAGTACAAGTCTCGGGGCTGCTCGGATGCATAGGCTAACAGGTCCTAGAATTATAATGGTGGCAGCTAAGATAAACTCCTGCTAGATTGTGATCCATAGCCTCAATGAATGAGGTTACTCTGAGTATATTTGGAATGGATTTGTTGTACTGGTCAGTGCTAAGTGAATTTATAGCATGCATTTATTAGGATGGAACACAACTAACAAACATCCTGGCTTGAATAAGGACTTCAAATACCAGTCTCTTAAAATCAATACAATGCTTACAACTGGGATGGACAGCTGTAGACGATCAGCCGGCAAGCATAATCTAGGTGTAATAAGGCTCTGTAGGAGGACAGGCAAGTTTACTAACCATCATTCTTTTTGTCCAGGCTGCGGAAGACCAATCTGAGCTTCTTCTCATGGTCACGAAGGTAGTGCACAAACTCCTCGAAGTCCAGTTGCCCATCCTGGTCCTTATCTCCAGCTTTCACTATTTTCTGTTGGGGGAGAAAAGGAAACACAGATTTGCACGGTCATTCTGGATGTAAGAAGCAGATCATCAACTGGCAGGCTGCCTAAGTGCAGGAAAGAACTGGAAAAAGAATAAGTTGCCACTTGACGGAAGCAGTCTACAGACAGAACTCATGTCCCATATAAAGCACACGCGATTCTATTGTTATGCAAACCTGACTTCAATATTTTGCATCTCAATTAAAATCTGCACACATTTGTCTTGTATAATTCAGCAAATGTGTCTGAAAACTGGACACAGAGGGGGGAATTTATAAAAACCGGAGCAGTTGCCCATGGCAACCAATCAGCATCTCTTCAGTTAGCTCAGGTAAGATTTGAAAATGATAGAGAAGCTGATTGGTGTCAGTGCAAATCTGCTCGATTTGGTCTGCTCCAGTTTTAATATATATTTCACCCAGAAATGTTTTTTTTTTTGTTAACTGCTTAGGTAAACCAATTTACACACAAAGCAGACACAAGCAACTGACGGGTTAATGGGTACCCATTGCAACCACAGGATGAGCCAAGTGAGATCGGCAGAGAGATTTACAGTGACCTTTGTAACTGTCTGAGCTGCAGTCACACTACTCCCTCAGGGGACACGGAGTGCTTACACTAAAGATAGCTGGGTGCGTGACTTTACACCCTGACCAGCGGGCACACTGTTGGCCTTAAGTGAATCCTACAATCATGCATGGGGGGGTTGTAACATTTACAAATATAACAAAAAGGTAGATTCCTCAGCTGACAAATGTATTCTTGGTTAGATTACCACGTCCAAACCTGAATCACACACGTCTACACCAATTATTGAGCACATGAACTATGCAAACTGAAGAGCTCTAAACTATAGTAGGGTCAGAACCTCAACTAGTAATACATACATCACAGATTCAGATTGCTTGAACTGAATTATTCCATAAGTACCGTGTTTTAGCAAATATGAAAACCAGATACAGTAACATGCAGTAAGGGATGATAGAGCAAAAGCAATTGTTTGGAAAGCATTTGCATAAAATTAAAAGGTCCGTGTTAAGGAGTATGCAAGAAATGGTTGACCATAATGCATGGTACTTTATAAAAAAATTGGTTCACCGATTGGTGAAGCCTGCACACTTCTTTCCCTTTCACCGATGGTAGCTGCTGCAGTTAAACCACTCGAGCCATTGCTACGAAGATTTTCCTATATAAAGTGCTATGACTAAGTAACAAAACGCACAGAAGGCAGTCACTCAGGACACAGGGGTAAAAAGTAGATAAGGCAATATGTAGATATGTATGTGTGGTAAAAGAAGAGTAAAAAGGACTAGAATTGTACGCTACAACAAGACTGTACAGTGAAAAACACCCGCACCAGTCACTGAACGTCCTAGGTAAATGATAGCCAAAGTAAAGCAGCCAAGGACTCACCTGTCTCCACTGCCTGTAAGTTGAAAATTCCTGAGATGGTATAAAAAGGCTCAGCCTAAAAATGGACTTCAGCTCTGAGGGCAGTCCATTCGACTCAAAGCACTGAAACTCTGCCTGAGACGGATCAAGAACCGACACGTACAAGCTCAGACAAAGCATCATGAAGACGCTTACACCTGCGTCAGCTCTGTACTCCTCTGCACCCCCACGCTTTCTCTACAGTGAATGCTGAAACCGGCAGGTTACAAGCCTTAGGTGTCTGTGCAAAGCTGCTATTGGAAGACACAGACCAGCCCCCTCCCATTGAAGCCAGTCTAACTGACAAGACCAGCCTTCTAAAGCCAGCCAATCCCAGAGAGGGCAAGTCACTGAAAGGGACAAGGGATTCTCTAGCTTCATAATGGACAACACACAAGTGCAGCTACGTGACAGCAGATGTCAATGTTATTAAGGCAAAGGGTGAGAAGACCCTCCACATCACAAGGTGCATTGCTTAAAATGCCAGGCATATTGAGTATCAAAATGTTATGACAGAACAAGAGCTGACACTTGTAAGTTTCCATTTGATCTTTGCCAAATGTGCACAAGTCATAAGTTCAATAAACACTAAAAGTATGTTATCTTTGCTCAATGCATACCAGAATAAAAAGGCATTCAAACTTTAAACAGCTATATGATAATAAAAAAGGACAACAAAAGGGAAATAAAATAACATCTCATAATTAAAGTGCATCCAAAGCCAAACACTTAAACCAAATTTGTTGCACACGTTTCTGTTCAATCCATTTTCACCAAATGTCCTGCATTAAATCATCCCTCCATCAGTGAAAAAGTATTGACGTCAGAAGCAGCCAAGCAAGGGGCATTTTAAAGAGAAGTTTGAAAATGGCAGCCTACATGTCTCTCTCCGCACAGTTGTTCCTTAAGTGACAACTGTACCTTTGATACAAGTTGTCGTTCAAGGCATGCTCAACCCCCTGAGTGCAGCCCACCCATCCGATGTTTGTTCCCATGTCAATGACCTTCACTGTGTGGCCTTGCCTGCCCAGCCTTACTTCCAGGAGCACCCCTGGAAGAACTTTAGGGCATGCACACTGCGACCTTGTTTATTTCTGTCAGGAGCCAGTCATGGCGGTCTTCAATTTTCCTGCAGAGAGAACGGATTGGGCAGGATGAAAAGATTCAGAAGAATGTTTGTGCTGCTTATAGCAGGACAGCTAAGTGAAGATCCATGGATCGGGAACAGAGGTAACCATTGTACTAGGGAGGCACGACTTCAAGCTGGGCTCGACAAATCTTACCAAGATTCACAAGCCTGTTAATAGAAACTGCCTTGTGTTCAGACCTTCACCCATACAAAGCCCTTAGTTGCACAAATTGACACCTATGCACTGAGCCACATTCACAATTTAAAAACACTAGGCTATGGACACACACACACACACACACACACACAGTGGACTGATGAAATTGAAGTCAAATGAGTCTGCAAATAGTAACTTCAAAATTACCAAGTAGGCTTTTTTTATGGTCTGTGTCCCATTCTGGAGATTAGCGCCATTTCCTATCCAGGTGATGTCAGAGAACAGAGCTATGGTGTGCAAGTGCAGTTTGGCACTCTGCTCCACACCTACTCCGTCACATGCGCAAACTTAAAAACCTGCCTACAAAGCCGACATTACATGGCTGGCCCAGCAGCAGAAATCAGCCATGTACATTGCACTGTGTGCAAACAAACAGAGGAACAGCCATACGAAACACTCTAAGGAAAGGCATACAGGCCTATAACAGCATCAAGTGCATTCACAAGAACGAGGGTACAGAGTTTAGCAGAGCAAGGACCTTTAACCAGTTGACATCCGCGGTGTTAAACCCCCTTCCCATCCAGGCCATTTTTCAGTATTCAGCGCTGCGGTACTTTGACTGACATTTATTCCGTCATGCAGCGCTGTACTGAAATGAATTTTTTAGGGCTGCAACAACTAATCGACATAATCGATTATA